TCAAAGCTAGAAGGCCCAGTGAACTGTAATTTGTTTTTATGCTATTACCACATGGTGGTGCCACTTTGGCTGATAAACAGAAACACCTGCCACCTTTGCTCAGTACTGTGTGAATCTCACTGCTGTTTACGTACAGAGGAACTTCGGTAAGTCATTGTGATGACTAATGTGCTGTTATTTTACAGACTCTGTTATTATAACTGAAAATATTTTTATATCCGACAACAATATCTCTCGAGCATTCATTAAGCAGTGGTTCTAGTGATAGTGCCGAAAAACACAGTCCCCAAAACAGTAACATTGGAACAGAAGTTAGTTCTGATAAAACACCATGAAGAAGGCCAAATATCCACTATGACATCCTGTGTTGTTAATTTAGGAGAAAGCACTGTAAAAAAACTAGAGCTAATGAAGGAAAAAAACTAAAAAGTGGTAGTAAAGTAAAATTATGCCACAATGCTATACATTCATGCATCCCCCAAAATATCCCCTTTGTATCTTCTCCTATGGGATAATTAGTCTTAAAGTATGAGTTTTATATCATAAGATTACTTCAAGAATATATGTATCATATAAATGTAAATGCCTTCTTAAAATATAGTATTTCCCCTACTGTTTCCATGAAGTGCTTCTCTTTCCATTACTATATTCTAAGTGTACAGTAAATAGTGTGGCAATTATGAGCGTGGACTTTGGAGCCAGACTTTCCGGGTATGAATCCCCCAGGCTCCAACACTTTCTAATAGCATGGCTTTGGGGTAAGCTTCTTAACCTCTCTATACATCAGTTTCTCATCTGAAAAATTAGGATGATAACACTAGCTACACCAAAGGGCTGTCGTGAAGACTGAATGAGTTGATACATGTAAGACATTTAGAACCCACGCGGCACTAACACCATGCATTAGCTGCTCTAGTCATCATCATCATCACCACCTTCCCATCAACTCTTGATGTTAAGACTGAATATATTTCACTGGGTCAAAAAAATGACCCGTCCCTTTATTAATAGTATATAAATTACTTACAGTATATGCAGTGATTACGCATAGGATATGCAGTGGTACAAAGATATTAGTCCTTCTTTTGATATTTTCTTTTGAAATACTGTAAGAAACTTTTCTCGTTATAGTTCTGGGGAGCTTTTCTAGTATAAGAACTGGGTAAGCATTATGATTCTGAATAGAGCCTGCTCAGACACTAACATTTACATCACGTGACAAAGCAGTTAAGTGTCAACTGAATGTTTCTTTAGCCGTCTTACCTTTAGTCTGTCTTTGGGCAGTGCGACAATACCTTGCTTAATGATTTCCAGGACTCGTTCCACTGACAGCTCAGCTCCAGCTTGTAGCAACCTTGAGCTAAAGAAGGTGATCACCTGCAAAGTAAAGTGTTATTTTTTAAACAAGTAGATGTATAAAATGTATTTTCAGTAGATGCCTTTCTCGCATGGTAGTCAAATGATCATAATTCCGATTCTAGAGTGACCTGGCTTTTAATTCACCAGCCCCCCCAAACACAATCTTCTCTTTTGGGTTTGATGGCCAAATCAGAGCCAACTCCTGAATATTCAGGGCTGATTAATTCATTGTGTGAATTAAGTAGCCTCCTGAATTCTGCTCTTTCTTGTGCTGTCTGATTTGGCATTTGTATTTCATCTAGAAAGCAGTACCCATCAGAAAGTGGGAAGAGAAAGCTAAGCCTTAAAGCCTGTCAATTTGAGGCTTAATATTAATAGTAGCACTCACTTTCCCAAAAAAAAAAAAAAAGGTGGGGAGCAGCTTAATAGGAAAGGAATTTGAAGTTAAGGCTAAAATGATGTTTTGGGGATTATCTATGAATTTAATTTATCCACATCACCCTTATCCCTGGTCACCAGGGATAATCAACAGCAACCTAAAATTACTTTTGTTTCATGTTATAGTACAGCCTAAACTAGGTAGGCAAGATATTAACACAGTAGCATTCTGGAAATAACACTGTCTCTAAATATTTGTCACTAAAAACTAAGACAATGCCATCATTTTTTAGCAAATCATTTTTAAAACCACAATGGTAATAAATCACAAAGACTGTAGACTCCTTTTTAATTCAAGAGAATAACATTTAGGTGTTTATAGCCAGACATGCAAAAATATAAAAATTTATTGCATTTTTTTTAAAGTTGAACATTTCGTTTTATACGTTTTTTATTTTCCAGGTAAAGTATATGAAGTTACAAACAATTCTTCGCAAACATTTTTATGCATTTTCTTTCAGAATTACTCTCCTAAATACTGTTTAAGAGTATAATAACTTTTAACCGTTCTAGTGGAAAGTACACTATGTTACACAAATGCCACTGAAATGCATTTGTTCTGTAAAGTAAAGAGACTCAGCTGGAGCCAGGACCATTAACAAGCAGGAGCCTCATAACTCTGTGGCAATGAGCGAAAACAAAGGCAGCTGATAGCTGGTGATTCTGCTTTTGATTCTACATAAATCATAATTTATCTACACATAAATTATTTCTTTATTTGCTGCCACCACTAGCTCCTTTGCAAGTTGCTTATTTCATCCACAACAAGTTGGTCTTTCAATATGTGTCTATGGACCTTGTTTCTCCCAAGTCAGATCTTAAGCTCCTTTGGGGATTCTGGGATTAAAATTTTGTTCACAGAGTTTAGAACCAGCAGGTATGTAAATTGATTTTATAATATAGTGAATAAATCTTTGCAGAAAGACACAACACAGATAGGAAAACATACTGCAATAGAATAAAATCTTATTTTCAAATGAGCAACGACAAAGATGCAAAACTTTGTTGCAACAAAGATGCAACAACAAAGATAAAAACTTTCCTTTTGTGCAAGTATCTTTGCAGGTTTTAAACTTAAAACACAGCTTTTCTGAGAAAAAAATGGGTTAACCATATGAATTGCCATTTTTGTTGGTAAAACCCCACCTATCTCTTCTCTCAGGATACCTGGACTACTGGAGCTGACGTATAGATCCTGGCAGGTTGTGAATGTCGATACTATTAGTAAAACTAAATCTCTATTATATTCATTCAGTCACTCATTCATTCATTCATTCTTTAGAGACAAGGTCTTGCTTGCCCAGGCTGGAGTGCAGTGGCCCAATCATAGCTCACTGCAAGCTTGAACTCCTGGTCCCAAGTGATCCTTCTGTCTCAACCTCCCAAGTAACTAGGACTACAGGTGCACACCAGCACATTTAGCAAATTTTTATATTTTTTTATTTGTAGAGACAGAGTTGTGCTATGCTGCCTAGGCTGGTCTCAAACTCCTGGCTTCAAGCAACTCTCCCGCCTTGGCCTCCTAAAGTGCTGGGATTACAGGCGTGAGCCACTGAGCCCAGCCTACTTTATTTTTAGATGAATAAATAAAGCTGTAATATTTTCTTCCTACAGACTGATCGTTGGTGCACCTCTGGGGTATGTGTATCCATCTACTCTGAAGATCACTAACCGAGATAACAAAATGCATATATCAAAGCTAAATGGAACTCACAGTATTCACATAGTGCTCAAAGACATCACAAACCAACCAAAGAGAGTACTTACATGTCATGTCGCCAAAGAACAAAATAATGCAATGGCAGTCCTGTTTTGTTCACTCTGTGCCTACAGTGGCTTGCCTCTAAGCCACAAAGGAATTTCCATTCTTACCAGGAGAGCTGCAGAGTAGGCCATGAGGCTGGGTTTCAAAGTAAATTCTTTTTTTCCAACTGTCTCTCATTTGTATGCTTTAAAGCTGATGTTCTAATGTTTTTGCATTCAAACTCACCCTATTTTAGAACACGATAAAACTACCACTTCTAGAAGGGAAGTATAATTTGTATATCAAAAAGGAAGGAAATGAACCTCTACTGAATGTTTATTATGGACCTTGTGCTGTACATATACTATTTATTTAATTTTTACAACAATCCTATAAGGTGATAAAAATCTGTCCTACAGAAGAGTAAACACGATCAGAGAGACAAGAAGCTGGGCCTGGGTTACCCGGGAAAGTGCCAGGAAGAGGACTACGGCTGAGGTGTTTCTGCTTACTTCATCATGTCTCCAGCAATTCTGATGTAGCAAAATGGAGCACAGCCTTAGTTTTTTTAGTAGGAAATATCTAAGGTAAAAGGTATAAGTTGTTTCACCAAAAATTTCAGATGGAGTCTGACTGCAACACCAGCAAAGAATGGGAAACAATTCATTCAAAGGTAAGAACTCCTATTTCCTGCTACCAGGATGGAATATGGCACACAATAGTGACTTTAGTGATGATGACTACAACTGATATGTGGCTTTTGTCAACTTGCACAGCAACAGTTAAAACTGTTAGAATAGATGAACTTTTTTCCCTTTGAAGATGTCTGCACAGGACACAGCCGGTAACAGAAAACATTTAAAGTAAAACCTTCAGCTGAAGTGGGAATGAATACTTCGTTAGTGTAACTCAAAGGCAACCTTTCAAAGGAAGGTACTTCTCCACAGTTCATGTTTTACAACCTTCTTCCACCCACCAGATTTGGCTGCAACTCACGAAATCCAAGCACAGCACATTAGCTTCCATTATGCTATTAGCTTTGAACAGCAATTGCCCAATGCCATGTTCTGATTAATCAGTTGTACCCTTTGAGTAATATCAAAATCACATTTAACCACCTGTCATGAAACCAGTGAATGATCATTAGATCAGATTTACAGAGATGAGAAGCTTTTCTGGGGTAAGGGAGAGTGAAAAAGGAGCCAGTATGTGCTAGCCAGACAAACATTCTCGCTTGCTAAATGGCCACTCTTCCAAGAGGTAAAAGTAGAGCACCGAGTTGTTTTTTTTTTTTTTTTTTAAGACAATGATAAACATGTTTTAGAAAGTGAAACAGATGTGTATTTCCTGACTTTTTTGGGTTTTCCCTCAAGGTTTAGTGTTGTAATCGATACATATATTGACAACCTATTCACTAGAGGAGCTCTCCAGAGGATTTACAAGGAAAATAGGTGATATTATTTTCTGTCTTCAAGAAAGGTACAATGTATTAGTAATTGGGGAGATAAGATACAAATCAAACGTGTATAATTAAATAGATTAGACATCATAGTAGACTATGAACTACTCAAAAATCAGAAGGCATGGATTTGGGTCCTGCTTCTGATACTTACTAGCAAGGTGCCTTATAAGACGCTCAACTTCTTTTACATGTAGCATCATGCAGTGATTGAGAACTTAACCTGGTGTCAGAATGCTTGGGTTTAAATCCCAGCTCTCCTTATAATGTCTGAAAAGTGATAAAGTTGCTACATCTACTTCATAGGAACCAATAATGATAATGTGGCAACGCTGTCATTTTGTAAATGAGGGGACTGACAGAAAGCCAACAATGACGACAGTAGCTGACATTTTGTCAGCATTTACCACATGCAAGGCTGCTTTGGGAAAAAACACTCCTCCAAACTGTGCTTTCCTCTAAACTCCACAACAATCAACAAAGAAGAGGACTCTGTGACCAAATGTGGGGTTTTCCCCACACACCAAGCAGCGGACACCAGCTGGGTGTCCTGTAATTCAATTCTGACACGATTTACCCTGAGATAGTGTCAGATCCCACAGCGTGAGGGCTCAGTCCCCAAGACATCCCCCATCCTGCCACCAGCGGCAAGATTGGGTCTCCGGAGCCTTGACTGACCCCCTTCTTCTTTGGGTTCGATTGATTTGCTGAGTGGCTCACAGAAATCAGGGAAACACTTATGTTTACTGATTTATTATAACAGATATTACAAAGGATACAGATGAAAAGATGCGTAGGGCAAGGCATGGGGGAAGAGGTGCTGGGCTTCCATGCCCTCCCTGGGTGCGCCACCCTCCAGGAACCTCCTCGTGTTCAGCTATCCAGAAGCTCTCAGAACTCAGTCCTCTTGGGTTTTTATGGAGGCTTTCTTACATGGGCATGATTGACAACCATGTAGAAATGTGACTGGACAAAAAGTGCATGATCCTAAACCCAGCAAGGCCTGTCTGTTCAGATTTTTCTTGGCCTGCCGGTGTAGCATCCTTCCTCCAGGGTATGGGGCAGGATTCTCTCTGGAATGAGGGTCTTTTGATTCACAATCAGATTGGAGTCCTGCCGTGGACAGGTGAAAGGAGGGCGAGAGAGAAAGAGAGAAAGAGAGAAAGGGGGGGGAGGGAGGGAGGAGAGATATTCTGTCTCCTGAGGCCTAAAGCACCCCAACATTGTAATAAGGATTATGGGAGTTATGAGCCAGGAACTATGGATGACAACCAATATATTTAATATATATCATAACACCACAAAGGCACTCTGCAGATATTAACTTATTAATACTTAATGCTGTAAATTTCCCTCTGAGCTTTCACTGTGTCCCAC